TGCATATAATGACGACGTTTTGCGCTTCCAACCCGAGCCTCACTTCAGAGATAATGTCCAGGAGGTTACTTTCAAGTACCTGGATGGGCTGATTACTTTGAGTTTTACTGCGCTTACGGTCGGCCATTACAACCCGAATGAGCAGTTTATTCTGACAGGAAATGAAGCCTTGAGGGGGAAGAGGCGTTTGCAGCCGTACGTGGAGCATGCAACGAGGGAACATATGCGCCGTTGGGCCTCTGATCTGACTGCGCGACGAGCCCGGTGGGCGCAGATTGGCCTTCAGACCAAAGATTTGGTGTACGCGATTCTCTTGGACATTTTGGAGTTGCACCGGGAAGGCTATAGCAGCTTCTCCGTACAACAACTCTGGCGCATGCAAAGGCGCACCGGATCGGATTATGACATTGCTCTCTTGTTGCTCCGGTTCGGCTTCCGCACGTCGATGCCGCCGTACGCGCAGATGGCGCGTCTCGCGGACCAGCTGCGTAAGCGGTCCGGTGCGGATGCCCAGCAGCATCGCCTTGACCAGTTCTACGGATTGGCCCCGAGTGAGTTCATCCACGCGTGCATTGGGGCCTACTATGCTGAACAGTGTCTGAGGGCGTATTGTGTTCTCCATGCGTTTCTGCGCGGATTCTGACCCTCCGCCCCTCACAATTGAAAGGGTTTATATTGAAGCAGTTGTCGGGCAGAGGTGCCAGTTGCAGACAGTCTCCACTTTCCCCTGCCCTGCCCCCCTTGCCTCTCCTTCGTCCTATTTCTCCCGTAGCACTGCTCGAGTCCGTTTCCCCGGAAGGGGCCACACTGGCAAGGCAGGAGGCGCTTATGTTCGATGGTGGGCCTCAGGCGGACAAGAAAGTGCACTGGCGATCATTGTCGGTGATCCATCCTGCATCTTGCGATTGTTCTCTTCCAGATCATGTGCAATGCATTCCATACTCGTCGAGGTGGGGGGGGGGGCGCGACGCACACAGTATAAATACGTTGGGGTGACGCCGAGGACAGACGGAAGGTGCACGCACAATCCGCGGGCGCACGCTAACATGAGTAGAATTCGTGGATCTGGCGCGTGGGCGCCAAATCCACGGATCGGGGAAGAACCCCCCCGAAACGTGGCACCAATGCCGGCTGGTCTGGCGAATGATCGCGCCGGTTTCGTACAGCGAAGGCCAGTCCACAATAAATCTTTCACAAAAATCCCAACCCTGAGACCCAAGGACGTCAGTTGACTTTTGGTGCGGGAACGTCACGCTTTCCTCAGCAAAGCTGTCGAAACCCAAGAAGCCCACAGGGCACCCTGGAGGCAAGCCGGGTGCTTCTTGGCGTGGGTCCCCACTGCATGCGAAATGAGACCCTTCGCTGGCCCACGCGCCTTACAGTCAACCCGTATGTAAAGGATGCGCGGTAATGATGCAAGGGCCTTGGACGCCCATTTCGAAGCTCCTCGAGCGGGGCGCGGCCAGCGAACGCGGCCAAGGATGGGCCGAGGAGGCAAGGATGCAAGGGTACCCTGGGGAAGGCTGCCCATCCTTACTGTGCGGGTTGACTGTACACTCCATGCTTGCGCTTCCTCGAAGACCGAGCCTCGGCGGTGGACAAACCTCCCTTTAGTACACCTCCACTCAGTGAAAACGGCCTGGGACCGAAACCGACGGACCTGGGCCCGCAAAAATGGCGGCCGCGACGCCCTCTCGCGAACCGAAAACGGCCCATTCCTTGATCGACGTGTCAGGGTGGGAGGTCTGTCCACCCCCGAGAGCCCTGGGGCCCGACGGCGCCAGTCCTCCGGCCAGGCCGGGCGGGGCAGAGGCCGGGCGGCAGGCCCACGGCGCGGCGCCCCTTTCCTGCGGACCGAGCGGCCCTGGGCCCCAGCGGCGGCCGTGCCGCGCGCCGCCGGGTCCACCGCTCCTCTGCGCGGGGGGGCGCCCAACGCCCGCCTCCCCCGAACTCTCGGGCTCAGGCCCTGGCTCGAGCTCGAGCTTGGGCTCTGGCTTCGGCTCAGGCTCAGCATCGCACTTCGCGGCCCCCCCCATGGGTGGCGAGGTCTTTCTGGGATCTGCGTGGGGCCCCATCGTGCGGGATCCCCCAGCAGCCCTTCAAAAGTGGCGACAGTTGAACACTGCGCAGCCCCCCCAAGGATGGCGCAGTCCTGTTTGGGTCTGCGTGAAATCCCACTGTGCTGGCTCCCCCTGCAACCCTCGGAAATGGCGACAGTTTCACACTTCGCAGCCCCCCCAGGGATGGCGAGGTTTGGGTCTGCGTGGGACCCCACTGTGCTGCCCCCCCCCCCCCAGCCCTCGAAAGTGGCGACAGTTTTACACTTCGCAGTCCCCAAGGGATGGCCAGGTCTCGTTTGGGTCTGCTTGTGGCCCCACTGTGCGGGCTGCCCCAGCAGCCCTCGAAAGTGGCGACAGTTTCACACTGCCCAGCACCCCCAGGGATGGCGAGGTCCCGTTTAGGTCTGCGTGGGACCCCACTGTGGGGGCTCCCCCAGCAGGCAGATGCAGGCAGGCACAGGCAGGCGAGAGGAGGACAGAGGGCGGGATCAGAAGGAGAAGGGAGTTAGCGATCTTACTGTTTTATTCAAAACGAAAACCCAACCAAGGGAGGGTTGGGACAACATGTTCGCGTTCTCGCCTCTTTCGATTCTCGGGGGGCCATGACGGCCCAAGCAGCCTCCAAGAGGGCCCCAAAATGGCCCAAGAGGGCCCCAAGATTGCCCACAGAGGCCCCAATAAGGCTCACGAGGTCGCCAAGACGGCCCCTGAAGGCGGCCCCGAGAGACCCCCAAGACGGCCTCCGAAGGGGCCAGACGGCGCAAGAGCGCCCCAAGACGGTCCAACAGGCCCCAGACCCCAGTGGGGTTCCCAAGCGGCTTCAGGGTGCCCTCAAGAAGCCTCCGACATGCCCCAAAGAAGCCCCCAAACGGCCCAAAGAAACCACCAAGAGGCCCGCGGAATTGCATACGAACGGCGCGCTGTTGCTACGTTCATCGGAATTTGATCTTGGCGTTGCCTTGTGCTGACACACGGTGAATGCTCATTCCCCTCGTGGGCATTCGCACGTTCGTCCCTACGATGAAACTGGGGGGGCGGTCTCCCCCCTAGCACCTCCTTCTCCTCTGCCCCTTTCCCCCTCCTTCTCCTTTCTTTTGCTCCTCCTCCTCGTTGCAAATCAAGAACACCAAGAAAACAACAAGTTTGGCGCCTGCGGTGCCACGAAACGCTCTTTATGTGTGGTTGGTTGTGCATTCCTGGCTTGGGAAGCAACGAGACACTGTGCATGTTTGACTTGTTTGTAGTGTTTCGTTTGGGAAGCTCAAGTTCTCCCCACGGCCTCCCCCGCAGTACCTCATCCCTTCTCCCCCTTCCCCTTGTCCCCACCTTCTCATTTCGCTTGCTCTTCTTGTTGCAAAGCAGAGGCACGAAGAATTGACAGTATTTAACGCCCTGGGTGCCACGAAACGCTGTCTTTTGATTGCTTTGTATCTTTGGTCTGGGAAACCACCGAAACACTGTGTGTGTTTGACGTGGTTGTGTTTGTTTGGTGTTCGAGGCTCCGGAACAGGAGTATGTGGTGTTGGGGGGAGGCCGCGGGGAACACTGGATCTTCCAAGACAAAAAAAAATGCTTTCTTGTTCCCCAAGCCAAGAATACAGAAAAAATACACAAATACACAGCGTTTCGTGGTACCTAAGGCGCGAAACACTGTATTATTGGCGCTCTTGCTTTGCAACAAGGAGGAGAAAATGAAAATGAAAAGAGGAGGAGAAAAGGTGAACGAGGACACGGATGAGGTGCTCGGGGGGAGGCTGCGGGGAGCACTTGAGCTTCCAAAACCAAACATACACAGTGCGGCGTTGCTTCCAGACCAAAATCACCCAACAACAACAAAAACAGCGTCTCGTGGCACCGAGGGCGCCAAACACTGTGTAGTTCTGTTGTTTGGAATGTTGCATCTCGGGAGGAGGAAAGGAGAAGGAGAAGAAGGAGGAAGAATAGAGGAGCATTGTAATCAGAAGGGCGAGTTGTGTTGGAGAAGCAGGAGGGGGGAAGAAGAAGATGAGTAAGAGGGAGATGATAATTAATGCCATTCAGCATAAGATGTATAGTCTTTGGGGGGGCAGAACATACACACACAAACAAAAACACGCACAGGACGGAGAGACATACCTCGGAGCACGGCCCACGAAGAGGCCGATCACTCGAGACGTCAGCGCGAAACTCGACCCCGCCTGGCAGACCAGCAAAAGCAGACAGCCAGATTCCTTCGGCCCGAACCCACGTTAACTGATAAGGAAAAGCGGGGGTGAAAGAGTATGAAGATAAACGCTCGGGCGAATCAACTCAGGGGGGGAAACATCCACCTGGAATCGGCGATACGTCGCCGACGAATCAGTGATAGGCCGGCCCCCGATAGCGAATCCGCACGCTCCTGGGGGGTGCAGCTATCAAGCCAAGATCGGCGATGAATGGGCGATGGGGGGTCGATGGATCCTCTTGCCTGAATCCATCCCCTCCGACGTTCCACATGAAGAGAGAGCCGCGGCGGCAAGAGGGCACAAAAAATCCACGCGACCACTCGACGAGCGCAACCGCCGGACAACGAGACGTCCTCGTCGCCCGCAGGACGCAGCTCGAGGCGAGGCTACTCGTCCGCGTCCTCGGACTCGTCGTCGGACTCCTCCTGCGAAACGCCGCGCAGTAAAGGTATCACAAGATGTGTGCTAAGGGAGGGCAAGGGCAACGACTGTGACGCTTGCGTGTGCAGACGGCAGGGACATTCTGAGGAGGCAA